CTTTCCCTAGATAAGTAGTAAACTAGATTCATTTGCATAAAAAGGTATTCGAATATGTATTGTACATTTGTTACTTCAACGTGTTTATCGATATGGCGATGACTGGTAAAGTTTAAATCTAGGCAATTAATTACTAATAAAATTATTAATAATTTATTACGATATTAATTCGTATATTAATAACTATAATATATTGATTGTAGTTAATTAACCCTTTCACTACTACGGGTGACTATGGTACGAAGACGCCATCTACACACGATCTCTAGGGACTGGTGTGGCGTTAACGTGTTAATCTTTGAAATACCGTTTCGGTGGTATTATTACTCATTAGGAAGTAGCATATTGCCGACCCTATAGTCACCAACTACGCGACGCCATCTACACACAACGGGTAACTCTATCCACGAACTACGCGACGCCATCTACACACTAGGGGTGACTTCAGCCACGAACTATGCGACGCCATCTACACACTAGGGGTGAATCTAGTCACGAACTACGCAACGCCATCTATACACGACGGGTGACTCTAGCCACGAACTACGCGACGCCATCTACACATGACGGGTGACTCTATCCACGAACTACGCGACGCCATCTACACATGACGGGTGACTCTAGCCACGAACTACGCGACGCCATCTATACACGACGGGTGACTCTAGTCACGAACTATGCGACGCCATCTACACACGACGGGTGAATCTAGTCACCGGTCTAAAAATTGAGCCAAAAATTAAGACAGACGTTCCGCTTAGCTATCTTTTCAAAGAATTGCAAACCCTATTGCGATGGTCAGTTTTTCCTTCTTTTTTTTTTTTATTTTTCAAAAGACTTAGACCCGAATGTTAAACACTGCACGATCGTAATGTTTCCATTTTTGACATAGCGCTTCGTTTTGTATCTAGAGGGACTCCACGGTGACGCGCGTGTCACAGGACAATTATCATGGTGACTCTAACAAACGACGTTTGGCTAATTTTCGCGTAGAAGTGTAGTGATTGATACTAACGCGGATAACTAAGTATAGTTACGTATAGTATAACGACGAAGGAGTTTCATAGGGGTACAACACTGGAGAGTTAACCTGTACAAAATTATGAGAGTTAACCTATATTCAGGTTTTGGTTCAGATATATATGCGATTCTATATGGTCGGGAAAGGGTATGTTTTGGAATATATGGTTCATTAAGATTGGCTAGTGGTAGACTTTGGTTTGTTTCGAACGATGCATGTCTGGTTTAGGATTTATAAACAATGATGCGATAACGAAAGGTATGTGGAAGTATCGGGCTTTCGGTAAGCATCCGTTACTCAGGGTTGACTTCTGACTCATTGGGTGCAATTCGGATACCAATTGGTGACGATAAGGCCATCTTTACACCCGTCGTAGCGAAAGGGTTAAATATCGCGTTATACTCTCTGTGCTACTCGATACTATAATTCAATTCGATATCTCATTATTTATTCTAAAATAATACCATCTATCATTAACGTGAGCGAAAAATCTATGAAAATAATCTTGACAATGAATATACAAATATCTGTACAAAACAATATGGCGTATATAGCAAGAAGAAGGTCTAAAAATTACATCCGTAAAATTGGAAAATAATTTGTACGTTCAAAACACTGTATTTAATACACACGTGTACCATTAACACTAGAACTACCAACCCAGTCAAAATGACTTGTTCCAGAATTTTCCTTTTTGCAATCACCGAACACATACACCTGCTTTAAGGATAAAATTGGTATCAACTAATATTACGAAAGAACTGTAATCAATATATTCACTCATATTCATCGTATCGCTTGAAATGACTATAATCTGTGCACGTTATAGTTAGGTGCCCATTAAAGATCGGTAGTTCTAGTATTAATGGATCATAAATGTGTTATACTGATAAGAACATCATTAATTAAACAAAAAGTTTTAATATAACGTTGATCCATCAATGTTGTTATAATTATGACAGTCTAAGGGTGACCTTCCATTAAGTACAGAAAACTAGCGTCTTCGTGGTTCGTATTTGTTCTAACTGTACTTACTCGAGTACATTGTATATATCCCAAAATTATTTTCGAATTTTACCAATAAAATTTGAAGACTTGTTTCTTTACAGTACACAGTGTTTCCCATAAATGGGCCCAGTTTAGGCTGTTGCTTGCAGAGGGTTGGCAATAGAAAAATATTTCACGAAACTATAGTAAACGGTGCTGAATGATGCATGATCCGATGTACGTGTCTACCACGAAGTGGAGATGTTCTGAAGATTTCACTGCCAATTTCTTAAACGATACGTACTACACGACAGGTGACTCTAGTCACGAACTACGCGACGCCATCTACACAGCATGGTTGATTTTAGCCACGAACTATGTGACGCCATCTACATACGACGAGTGACTATAGTCACCGGTCACGGGACGCCATCTACACACAATCGGTGATTATAGTCACCGGTCGTGAGACGCCATCTACACACGACGGGTGACTCTACCCATGAACTACGCGACGCCATCTACACACAACGGATGACTCTACTCACGAACTATGCGACGCCATCTATACACGACGGGTGACTCTAGTCACGAATTACGCGATGCCATCTACACACGACGGGTGACTATAGTCATCGGTCACGAGACGCCATCTACACACAATCGGTGATTATAGTCACCGGTCACGAGACGCCATTTACACACGATGGGTGACTATAGCCACGAACTACGCGACGCCATCTACACAGGACGGTTGATTTTAGTTACGAACTACGCGACGCCATCTATACACGACGGGTGACTATAGTTATCGGTCACGAGACGCCATCTACACACGACGGGTGACTATAGTCATCGGTCACGAGACGCCATCTACACACGATAGGTGACTATAGTCATCGGTCACGAGACGCCATCTACACACAATCGGTGATTATAGTCACCGGTCACGAGACGCCATTTACACACGATGGGTGACTATAGCCACGAACTACGCGACGCCATCTACACAGGACGGGTGACTCTACTCACGAACTACGCGACGCCATCTACACACGACGGGTGACTCTAGTCACCAGCCACAAAAATTGAGCCAAAAATTAAGACAAACGTTCCGCTTAGTTCTCTTCGCAAAAAATTACAAGCGTTACTGCAATGGTCGCTTTTTCTATATATATTACAATTATATATTATATTAACAACCTTCATATAAGTTAACTAAATCTGTCACCATCGTATAATTGGAGCAACCCATCCGTCAAATTGACGAGTTTCGTAAATCTAGTGTTAATGAAGTTATACATTGAAAATAATTTGAGGAATTAAATTTAATAATTTTACACCATATGATAGTACTTGAAATGATCGATACATATAGCCATACGGCAGTTATCACATTGATGAAATGAATAATTTTTCCCTTTTTGTGATAAACGAACTACACAAGGTTTACAAGCTTTCCATGATGAAGTTGTTTCAATAGATATTAGAAAATGTTGGCCAATAAATCTTGATAGTAATGATGAACGTGGTGTAATATCTCGTGTTGCTGATGTTTTTATTTTTGCTTTATTTTGTTCAATTATTTCTTCCGCTAATTTTTGCCCAAAGACGTGAAATGCTCTATCTTTACGAATAGTTTGCAGTCGTGATACGAAATAATAAAGTCTTTAGAATTATCGAAAATGAAGGTATTAACCCTTCCACTACGAAAGACGTATATATACGTCCTCACAAATTTATCAATATATACGAAAGACTTAAATACACGCTACCTACATTTTTCTTACTCTATCACTTTTGCTATTTTACCAATTGATTCTACATGAAATATAACATAGCAATTGAATATCGGCAATTGTTTCAATATTGTTCTGTCAATTGTCAAATATCGCGTCGTCTGTATTTATGATTCACTTCCAGAATGTACCGCAGTCAAAGGGTTAAAATAAGAGTTATGCTATAAACACGACCTCTGATACAAAACAGCGTGCTTGCATTTTGTGACTATGCACAGAAGTTCTACTATTATGCACAATAGACTAGCACATATACATGTGCCACAAAAATTCCGCGCATATATCTGCATATAATGCAAATGGGTTAAAACAGTCCCTTCTAAACTGATCAATTTTCGACCTAAATTTTCTAATACGTTTCATTTTTATAGAAGATAAACAAATGCAGTCAGTAACGTGTATAAAAATGTGCAATTCCATAAAGAGAGAAAAAATGGAAATAAAATCTCGAAATTTTTTGAAATTTTTCACTTTTAGTTTTTCATAGTAGACATCGAGTCATGCATCATTTAATTTTCCTTACAAATTTTCTCTATCCTTTACGATTTTGGGTTTTGGAGAACTATGGCTGGGTCCAATTGCATGAAACACCTTGTATTTGCCATATCGTTTTAGAGATTTCGTTTATATTTTACTCCCTAAATGTAACGAAACTCATAACCAAGAAATTGGACTATATACGAATAATATTTGAGATTTTTAATTTGACCATTTGATGATTCAGGACAAGATATTTGGTAACCGGTGGTAGAAGTGGGCAGAACATGACTTTACATTTAAAAATAAACCGAAAAGGAGGAATAAATCTTTTTCATCGGAAAATTAGTTTTGAAAAACGATTTCAATACCCATAGCGTGTAATAATATTTAAAGAATAACGATATTTAGAAAATTCGTAGAAGCCGATAAAAATTGAATCGAATTTAACCCCCTTTGCATTCGAAGAATTTTTCGTTACAGAAAAATAGTAATTCGAAGATTTTCTGTCATAAAGCTAACGATATTTTTAAAACGGTAAATAAGAAATCGTATGCAAATTAAGATGTAGAATTATTTTACTTAGACATTCCACGCATCGTTGGGTAATTTTAATTTTGATATATCGGTTTAATTAATTCTGATATAAGTTATCGATCTTTAGGTTCTGATTAAATGGCGACTGAGGGTGGCCACTCGAGTGCAAAGGGTTAATTAAATTTCAACTTCACGAATTTTACAATAAATTATATTTCTTTCTCGGTGACTCGAAAAATAGTAATTTCATGGTGTCATTCGTCGAATTCATATATTTGGCGTGGATACATAGACACTAAATATGTTTACAAACATAGATGGGAACAGTTTACAATGAAATTTGAAAACTCGACTAAAAGAACACGTTTTCCAATGAATTTTCAACTCATTTTTAACAATTTCTTCTCATCGAAACTACAAATCGAAAAAATTTTGTTCCTCTTTTCCAGCACATTTTTACATGAGTTCCGCTATTTCCCACATTATCAAACACGCTTTTATACTTTATCGTAATAAATCAATTTAATAATTTATTTATTTAACACGTTCACGCCGGCGCTGATTTTTGTTTCTCGCTGTGGAGCGGCGCACATATTCAAACACCTTACTTTTCTTCAATTAACCCTTTGGTCTATACCCACGAGTCTGACTCGTGATGTGGAATTTGTGCCACAAACGAAAACCACGAGTCTGACTCGTGATGAAGGATTTGTGCCATAAGCGAAAACCACGAGTCTAACTCGTGGTGAGGAATTTGTGCCATAAGCGAAAACCACGAGTCTGACTCGTGGTTACGAATTTGCGCCATTAATACTTCAACTACCACGTTGGTTATATATGACCAGCCACGGTTTCTTCTGTGACGCCACCGTGATCATTGGTGACCGAAGCTCTTCAACTACTCGAACTACATTGAACTACATTGAATGAAAATTGGCAGTTAGTGCATTTCGAATATAACCGCTAATTAGAAAATATTTTGAAATAAAAAGTGCCCCACTGAACAATTAAAAATTTTTATTAAAACATCAAAAACATATTAGAACAAACCTTGCATCTAGCGATGTACTCCCATGGCAGTGAGAAACATGGAAAATATGTGATTCCATGCACTCCTGAGGGAAACATGTGATTCCGGCGAGGTAGTCAAAGGGTTAACAATACACAGGAGTCGAAGTGGTGGTACTTCTTTGCATCGAAAAATACATGTCATGAGAAGTATACATTTTTCGCAAGTTCGGGCACACAGCTGAATGGCTCGGCATATGACCGATCTTTTTCTTTACTATGGCCCGCGCAATCGGGAGATAGCGCGTAGGCCAAGGGTTTAACCCCCTAAGTAAAGGTGCACGTAAAATTAAAATAAAAAATGTAGAAATTTTTTAAAAATATTATAATAAGAAAATATAATAATAAGAATAAGAATATAATAATAAGAAAATATAGAATTTTATTAATATAAAACAAGCTGACAAATTTTTCATTATGTATAGTAACTATGAATTTCACAAAATGTCGGCTTGTTTTGCATTAATAAAGATTAATTTCTATATCTTTTATTTTAATTTTACGCGTATCTTTCCTTTCTTTTCTCTATACGTGCACCGACTGCGATAGGTGGACGAATATTTATGCGGCCGACTGTAAATAAGATGAAATATAAACCTAATATTTCGAGGTGGGACTAAAAATGTCCCACCATGCATTACGGTGCATCAAAATGGTGGGACACTTTTAATCCCAGCGTGCCCCAAAGAGTTAATTATCGATTATGTTCAAAATGCACTGCTTTCACTATTTTTATTATTATTTATTATTATTTACAATTTTAACAATTATAAGTAGTTCAAGTGATCAGTAGATGACCACTGTTAGCGTGACAGGAGAAACCATGACTCGTCATATATGACCAACGTGGCAGTGAAAATGTCAATTAAATGAAACTATTCGATGAATCTTAGCGAGTGAACAGGAAAATGGGTTACAACAATGTATAATTAATTATTCACCTGTTCTTCGGCTTGAAGTTGTATAACATCCCATTTGTTCTGCAAGTTCCTACGTAGGCAGTTTAAAGCTTCCTAGGGGGATAAATCAGGTATTTACTAAAGCTATAAAACGCATGTAACAACTATCTGTTAGAATAAACACGAGGATAACGTACAATTTCATAATCTTCAAGAGCATGTCGTTGCTTGTTTCTCAGAGTTCTCTTAGCCAGATAAATAGCGTATTCCACGTTATCAGGGATTCTATGTTGCCACGGCCAATAACATGGTGTCTGTTTGCCAAATAAAGAAGGATTACACATTAATCATCTCAAAAGCACACACGTACACAAAAGCTACGCTACTTTATATGCGAAACGTACTTGAAAAGTGTCTCGACACCTATGCAATGTCATTTCTCATCGAGTCATTTCGTTGACACGATATTGATCATGTATTACCATTTTTTCGCGATTTTTCGATTTGACAATTGATTTTCTCATTTAAATTGAACGTTTAACAGTCTACCAACGAAGATCTGTCAATTTTCATCCCTTTTTATCACTCGTTGCCTCTATACCACACATTGACAGTCGAATATCTTAATTTTCAAATAACGTTATAATTTTCACGAATATAAAAGTCAAATTATTCTTCGTCATATAGGAATAACAATTTGTCACAGTTCGAAAAGGAGAAATTCAAACAGTGGGATTAAAAATGACACAACTTCGTGGTCTAACTATTCGTCGACTGTCAACGAATTAAAGTTCCCCGGTGGATGATGCGATCATGCGTAAATTGAAATAACGAGACCAGTTATTCGGCTTAGGTTTCACAGAATTTAAAGAAGACTCGAAGACTTCGTGGTACCTAAGCTTTATTTCATCCACTCCGATTCATCCCGGATTATTGCGCGTCATTCTGAATTAAAAGCCGTGTATCGATTAATTAGTCAAATCTACCGTATTTACAGATATTAACACTAGATTGCCGGAGCGAGTCAATTTGACTCATATACGACTTTATTGCTATATATATAGAAAAATTTAAATAATTTTTTTAGAACATATGTTGGTTTTTCATAGAATTATAAAATGTATACAAATACTAATTCCTTCCCTTCCCACTCCTTACTTCCAAAAAGCCATATGTGCTATACCTATTTTGACAGATGTGAGTCAAATTGACTCGTTAAATATTTTTAAAATTGGTCGTTTTAGACACGTGTAACTTATTTCTCGTGCATACAAATTTTTTGTAAACAATCTGATGCGAGAGTTTTCATGTTCGAACTTGTCAATTTGCTAGTTTATGGCCCCTTAGCCCACCGAGGTCCAAGGGTGCCACGCGTGCGGACTTACGTTGAGACAGGCCCCTTGTTAGCCTAATCCCAAGTACCGTCACTCAACCCTGTCGAACGAGGGTCGTATTGCCTGGCAAAAATCTGCGGAAAATGTATTTTAAAAACGGAATATATCTGTAAAAATTGTTTCGAATAAAGTTCCTTTAAAATAAAATTTTATTTCTTTCAAAAAATTTCAATTTTGATGTTTCAGTCGAATTGACTCGTTTCAGGCAAAATAGGTATATACCCAATCTCCGGTAATCTAGTGTTAATGAAAATGCCTGTAACCAATATTTGCTAGCAAAAGGAGGAAAAGCTTTGCGACGTGTATGTTATCGCGATCGATGCACTATCGGTATATCCAGCGTGTTACAGTTAGACATTTCTCGTACAGTTAGACAATAATTTACAATTTTCTCGACTGCGTCTAATAAAAATAGAAAAGATGGAATTCTCGATAAATATCCAGTGCTCGAATAACGACACGGTGAAACAGAAATACGATATGCAAGGTGCTGTATCGGTATCGGAGCATTCAGATCCTTCAGATCCTCCTTTGTTTCAAGGGAAACGTGTCCGACATATTTTTGCACCGTAGCTTTCCTTCATTGCACCTGATAACGGGTGTTAAAATAAATTCCATTTCGAAGGATTAGGTCGTCAGCCTTGAAGCAATTTGAAACAGCGAGTATGCGAGTTTTAGGGTGTCATTGAAAGAGTACATGGACTCACTGCAAATGTAAACTCGCGATTAGTGAACCCAGAAAAGCAAAGATACGTATCATATGTGCCTATGATTATGAAAGTGGTCCAAGTCATTTATATTTGCTTCTGAAATATTAAAAGCTTCGGTCTTTAAATTCGTCATAAATTATAAAATTAATTGCAATAAGGCTGCAAACTCGATCTAGCGATTCAATTCTTCGCTGTTTTGTAGAAAATAAATATATTTTATCGTAAATGAATGCAACACGAAATAAATAATAAAATCTTTCCTCTTAGGTCCATGACTTAGATCACATTCATAATTATAGGCACATGTGTAAAATGTAATAAGAACAGTAGCGCACTATATTTTTTGAATTACTCTCGAGGCAACTTGCTCAACTCGCTCTCTAAAGACACACACAGTGCTTTCTGCTCTTTTCTCTTTCTCTCAACTGGCACCGACCGTGAGTAACAGTATAAGCTCTAATTATTCCACTAATTATTTAACGTGCCTCCTGGAATGTTAAATTACTGCCAGTGAAAACTGAACGAAGAAAATCCTCGAAATTCTTTTACAGATTACTTCTATAATTTCTATGATTAGTATAAAAATAAACGTTACTCGATAAATTAATATCTAGAAAAAATGAATAAATTATTAATAATAAAAATTGCTATTAATCGATAAACGAAGGAGTGTAGAAAATCGAGGTAATTCTTACTCCGAGGCTATAGTCCAACTACGATGGAGTATGTCTTAACACCTGTTACAAAATGCAATGGGAAATGATATAGGTATAGCTGTATGCAAAAATATCGGTTGCGAAAAATTTGAAATAAATTGTAAATGGCCGAGGAATTTTTATTTCTTCCTCGAGACAGCTTGTACACGAGGGCACTGATTCAGAATGACTTCTCGAATAGGCTAGAAAAATTGTTATACGAGCTAGCGTATCAATACGCGTACACATATATGCACGTATACATGGTCGCGGATAACGGATGCAAGTTTAGGTTTAAGTTTACTGGATTCTGAAGCATAATAAGACAAGTACGGTACCTGAAATCTATACAGAGAACTATCATCCCTTACGGTGAGTATCTTGGAGTCATTCACCGGGAAGAAGTAGCCATACTGGCAGAGCTGATTGGCAATATGGACCGCCTCTACTGTCAACATAACAATTTACTTTCATACCTGACGGAATCGTTGGGTTGTACGAAAGGCATTAAGTGATATCTAATCACGTGCAACTTATCTAGTCGTTGCCACATTGCGCGTACATCGCGTCGTGAGTAGCAATTAACGCCCAGCCACTGATTCCGAGCGAATATTTAGAGCGGTGCATGCTGTTTAATCATAAGAAAGCCACATCACTGAAAAAAAACTGATTTCTTTTCTCTGTTTTACCGACAACTCGACTAAATGAAATTTGCTAGAACCTTTTCACGCAAATAAATAGAACGCGAAACTTTGCAACATCTCGAAACGGTTGAAACTTGGAATGTTAACTCTTTGCACTCGAGAGGTGAGCTTCAGTCACCGTTTCATAAAATTTGGAAAATCGATATTAACACATCTTGCGCGGGTGCTTTGCCGTTGCAAAACGACTTTAGTCGCTTCCCGCGCAAGATGTGTTAATTAACCCATTTGCATTCTCTTCTATAAGTTCTTATTTTAATTTAAATAATTATATTCTATTTATAAAATAATATTTGTTTCTTTTCTTTTTCATAAGAAAATGTAAAATGCGATATTTGCGATGTAACATTGGATATCAATCATTTTATACAGTACAGTTTTAATAAACTCCACGAACAATTCGGATGTCCTTTAATGCACATAAGACCGACCACGCGCGGTGATACGAGCCAGTCGTGAGTTGAACGTCGCTGATGTTTCAGCGTGGCAGCTTAAGTAGAGTCACGATGCAAATGGGTTAATATATAAAATTTAATGTAATGTTACAATGTTCGAGGTATCGAAATCAAATAATTCTACAATTCTATTATTATACAATCCTTTATTTACTGCTAAAAAAAAGTATCGTCAGTGTTTTAGTAAAGAATCTTTGGATTTTTACTCTTCTTTAGCCAAGAAATCGTCGTGTGCAAAGGGTTAATCTTCTATCGTAAGAGGATTATTATAATTCATAAATTAAGAGGATAAGAGAAATCTTTAGACGAGAATTTCATGTCTTTCGAAAAATTTTGGAAAATTGATTCCTTCTTTATCGACTTATTTAACCCTTTGCACTCGGCGATTTTTTCGTTACAGAAAAATAGTAATTCGAAGACTTTCTGCCATAAAGTCGACGATATTTTTAAAACGGTAAATAAGAAATCGTATGCAATTTAATACGTAGAATTATTTTATTTCGACATTCCACGCATCGTTGGCTAATTTTAAATTTCATATATTAACCATTTGTCCCAAGCAGCGCGATCGCGCTGTTCAGATTTCTCGATATAAAATAGAAGAAGCGCTATAGCGCTGCTCGGGTCTTCTCGTACCCACTAGAGGCAGCGCGGTCGCGCTGCTTGGGATCCCTCTACATTATTTTTTCAAAACCCTCTGGGACTCAAACGGTTAAGGTATTAGGTTTGTTTGGTGGAAAAAGGACGTAAGTGTCGCCTCTCCCCTGAGGGTCGCCTCTCGAGTGCAAAGGGTTAACACTTCGGTACGAGCGTAGAGTATAGTCGACAGTCAGAGATGGAGAGATGAACTATAGTCGACGGCCAAGAACTTTTACTTTGATTTTGCATTAACCACTTGCGCTACGATTTAACTTTCGGTTGCCGTGCCGTGCTCTACAATATAACATGCGGTAAGACGTTACATTGACGCTGCACCGCGTCTGCGAGCCAACTGTTTTAGCCGACGTGACGGACACGTCGTTTTTGTTTCTGCGACAAATGCCTATCGACGTGGTATACACGTTGCTGACGGCTTTGGATCAAAAGCATCTCGACGTGCGTGGCACGTCTTTATAGCGCAAGTGGTTAACCCTTTCGGTACTACTGCCGCGCATTGGCGGCGGCCATGACACGTTCTCTGAGTACTACCGCCACCTATTGGCGGCATCTACGAAACGTTCTCTGGGTACTACTGTCACCTATTGGCGGCATCCGCGAAACGTCACCGATGACTGTCGCGATTCGAATGAAAAGTTTAGTGTCAACCACGTTCGAGATTTCTATGAATACCGCAAAACACGTTTTCGCGGCTTCCAGTGCAACCACTCTTGTGGAAAACTTCCTCGTACCACGAATGTATAACCGCGGCCAGCTCCACCGTACCGAAAGGGTTAAATTTTTTAATTTCTCATTTATCAAAATAAAATTGTGAACATTTAGAAATGTCGTAATAAAAACATATGCTATGCTGATTTAAAATTATAAAATTATGAAATATAAATATGTAAAAATAATAAATATATATTGCTGCAAAACTTTGAAGGCATTTACTTTGGAATTCGTTTTTTGAAGACAGTCAATACGATAACTCTGTCAATTTTTAACCAATTCTCGTGAAATTTAACCCTTAGAGCGCTATGGACGCATATATGCGTAGCGAAAGTCGCCATCAGGGACGGTGGACGCATATATGCGTTGTTCAATTTTTTCGGTCTTCCATGTAATAGTATCACATGTAACTTTATGCGAGACAAATATACGCGTGTTTCTTAGCAACGGCAGTAAAAAAAGACAAATGATGGAAGAAATAATAGACACGTGGACGGGTTTATTCTTTTGTATATCTGTTCCGAGTATCATTAGTAACGTATTAACAATATAGTATACGTATAACAATATTAACAATATAAACAAATTTATCATACACAAATAAACTATTAATTTTTGTTTAGTTTTTGTTCCTTATTTTTATGTTAAGTTATATTGTAAATTTTATCGATTCTAATAGATAATTGATGCTTGAAAATAACGTTCTTTTATTATTTAACCCGCTGCAAAAGAATTACAATAATAACTTGTTGGTTGCGCCTTGAACAGTTAATCAACAGTGCTCGCACGAGCAAAAAGTATTCCGTCCACAGCGATCGTAAGCGCTAAGCACGCACAGTCCCTCTGAAG